ATATTTGTTCGTCAGACATAAAAAAATGTCCAACAATAACATACGGGCGGCTTCAAGTGACCGCCGACGGACTCGCTCTTGTGTCCACGGGGGGATAATTATATTAATAATTAATTAATGGCGATCCTAAAGTTGTAAGATAACGTTCAATTTTTTTTTATTTATATATACAAGTTCTTACATTCTTGTAATGTATATTATTAATAGGTACATTGTAGCAAAATTTGTATTCAACTTGGAGGGCTTGAAAAATTGCAGAAGGAAGCCTTGAGGATAATCCTTGGGTGCCCTCGCACCACAAAGATACTTAATATGAGGAAGGAACTTAATATTCAACTTAACTATGATATAAGTTGCAAGCCTTAGGCACAAATATTTGGAAGTGGGCAGCACAAGATACAAGGTGCGTTTGAAGCGCTAGGAAGGAAACTATGAGCATAACTTTCCTAAGTCCAAGAGCTAATGTGCAATAAATGGCAGCGGCTCGCGAAATTGACGTGATGTCCCGTTTTCTGTTTTTTTGGTCCTCAGGTAGGTTAGGCTCGGGCAATTTAGTACAAAACCCTAGTGACGTATTGTATGTGAAGCGGCTGCGGAGGGCAGTGAAACAGAGGTCGCGGCTCGCCGAGTCGATTGATTGATGAAGATTAAGCCACCCAAAAGGTGGCACGGGCATGAATAGCCCGTAAGTGGTGGCCCTTTTGAGCCATTACCAGTGTAGCGAGTAGATTATCCCAATAATATACTCGCTCCAAATATAGTGTTAATATTCCTGTCAACCTTTGGAGATGAATGAGGTGAGGCGTTGCCCGGGCAACACGGTGAGGTGTTGCCCGAGCAATATAAGCAGCAAGAATAGCAAACATTAACTAGTCTACTTTCAAGTGTGGTCTAGAGCAGACACTTGCGAGATACTGTACCAACGCTCAGTGCGCTCAACTCACACCAACGTATCACCTGCGTACTTCTGTATATTCGACCAAATATATATATAGTATCTTAGTGTCTGTGTTTATTTGTCACCATACTTTACGTAACAATAGAACCGTTACAATATAATAAACTAAATTTGCGATCATTTAAGGAGAGAAGTGCGACGACTGGATCACTGTGTACAGAAGGTTGATATGCCAACAAACACTTTCCAGACAACAATATATCTTGGATAAGTCGCTCCACAACATTGACACCTGGACCGGTGACTTCCTATGAGGCCACATATTTACTTATTTCATAATGGAAGTATATTATTTTATAGTAAATATATGTTTTCTCGTGTTCTGCATTAAGCACCAACATTATAGTGAATAAATATACCATATTTCTTCATTATTTAAGTAATGCTAGGAGGCTTTGAGTAGCTTTGGGTCATTAGGTGAACAGAATCTCCAATAGATGGGGCGAGAGTCGCGCTATCTCTCGCCCGAGCGAGAGTCGAAACTTATTTTAGAATTGATATATCTTTGTCCTCCAACAAGATATATTTCCTTTGGTGCACTCACAATAACGAGCATATCTCTGTCTTTCTGAAGGCATATAATATTTTAGGCTTTATAAGCGTATCTTTGTTAATTACACACTATATTGGTGTTCCGAACCTTAATGGAATCTGACCCATATATCAATCAGGTCAACCCATGTGTTGCGTTTCCAAAAATGTCGCCCATGTTAGAATCGGTGAACGCCCTAGTAATATTGTTGAAAACATCTTAATAACTTATTAAACCAAAGGTCTTTTTATGTCAGAAGAACGGCAGAAACTGGATCTATATATGAAAACTCTTTCAGGACAAAATTTAAAGTAAAACTAAAGATATTTGTAGTTGTATAAAAGTTGCATTTTTCATCGGTCGTAGAGCCGGAAATCCGCAATATTCATCTCAGAACAATGCTTATTTCACGTAGAATCGTTAATAAACGTAAGATTTTTATACGTCTCAAGAAAGATAGAAACATAATCTTCATTTTAAATGCCTTACCATGGGCATATTTGTATTTAAAGTGAAGATACGTGTATTTTTCTAATCGGCGAGCTCCAATCCCGCACAGATCGAGCAACGGAGTAACTCTCTCTCAGAACAATGCTTATTTCACGTAAATTCGTTAATAAACGCAAATATTTTTATATGTGTTGAAAAAGATAGAAATATAAGCTTCATTTTAAATACTTTACCATAGATATATATAAAGTTCTAATGAAGATACATGTGATTTAATAATCCCCGAGCTCCGACCCCGCACAGACTGATCGACAGAGCAACTCTCTCTCAGAACAATGCTTATTTCACGTAAATTCATTAATAAACACATATGTTTTATATGTCTCAAGAAAGATAGAAATATAAGCTTCATTTTAAATACTTTAACATAGACATATATAAAGCTCAAGTGAAGATACATACGTTTTTATAGTGGCATTCAGTAGCTTGTCGGTCATGGAATGCAGAAGCCTACGCACTTGCCAATATAGTGTGTAATTAACAAAGATACGCTTATAAAGCCTAAAATATTATATGCCTTCAGAAAGACAGAGATATGCTCGTTATTGTGAGTGCACCAAAGGAAATATATCTTGTTGGAGGACAAAGATATATCAATTCTAAAATAAGTTTCGACTCTCGCCCCATCTAAAATGGGAATGGAAAATTACAATTAGCATTCAAATTTGACCGGACTAATCTGGTGTCTACGGCGATGGGATGGATACTATGGGTCGAATTATGGTATGTGAGGATGGGTTGGTGCCTGGTGATAGCTAATAATTGTAAATCTACCACATGGAAACTAAGCATTAGTAGCATAGGAACTATGAGCATTGTGACAAGTATTATGGTATCCCAAGGACAGGTTGCAACCAACATCAAATTAAACCAGATGTGGACAGATGCAACATAAGAAGAATACCAAACTGAATTAAACCACAGATGCATCAGCACATTTACCTACTCTTCTGGATCTTCAGACATGAGAGACATAGTGGCATTACTAGTAAGCCATGGTGTGTGGGATAGGCACCACAATGAGAAAAGCTAGATCAGCACCACAGTGAGGGCAGATAGTGAAAGACAGTAACTATGACGGAGTAGTGGCATTACTAGTAAGCCATGGTGTGTGGGATAGGAACCACAATGAGAAAAGCTAGATAAGCACCACAGTGAGGGCAGATAGTGAAAGACAGTAACTATGACGGAGTAGTGGCATTACTAGTAAGCCATGGTGTGTGGGATAGGCACCACAATGAGAAAAGCTAGATCAGCACCACAGTGAGGGCAGATAGTGAAAGACAGTAGCTATGACGGAGTAGATGTGATAATGCTGATAATGGAGCACCGCTTCTGGTTTTAGCTTCATAAGAGAATCATAGAAAAATAAATGTAAAATTGCAATGAGGAGCAATTCTTTCATATGCAAATGTGTATAAAGATAATTAAAAATGAACCACTTCCAGCAATAAAATTTATTGACAAGCATCAAGAAAATATATAAACATTAAACTATGCATATGACCTATAAATATCAAAACAACACCATCCTTATGCATAAAGCAACATTTTTTATATCATTTAACAGTATTTAGAAATCTATAATAGGCAACACACAGGGTAAGATATCAACAAGTATTGAGTACATGCAATAACTAGACCTGCATGAGCACGTCATGGATAATAACTATGCTATACAGTATAGGCTAATTCTCCACTACCTAATCAGATGTACAATATGAATTGCATATGTCTTAGGGGTATGAAAACAAAATTGTTATATCTATTTACTAGATATCTGATAATTTATCACCAATAAATTTTTGTCATCTTCCCCTCAAACAAAGTATTTAGGACGTCATGTAAGCTACAACACTAAGCCTACAAAAGCTCCACCAGAACAGCATAAAGGTATGTCATCTAGTAATGTATAATGCATTAATGTAAAGCTATACAAGTGACAAAAAATGTACAGAAAAGAAAATCTAAAGAAAATAAAAAAGATAGAACATGACAAGGGCAACAACAAACAAAGACAAAACTAACACAACAGAAAGTTTTTGTTTGTTTACATGTTGAGGTTTGACTACTTCTGGAAAAAAAAGACACGTGGACTCTCTCCTTTGCCTTTCCGAATGAGGAGTTATGGTAGTATCATCTGCTTTAACCTCCTTCAGTGATGGTTCGCGTTCTTCTTCTTGAGTATATGGATTCACAAAAGTAACAGATTCGGAAATTCGTTGTGCTTTATAAGCCACTGGCTGGTATAATCCATGAGCTTTTGATATACTAGGAAGAGGTGGTAATTCTTTCCATGGTACACTCTGCTTTCCTGCAAGAGAGAGGATATCACTTCTAGAAGATGGACCTGGCACTGCAGGATCATGAACCTCTGGAACTGGTGGTAGTGGCATCTGTGGTGGTGGTGGCAGATTGAGAACTGATGGACGATGTAACTGGCCTGTAGTGATTGGAGGATTGAGATGGTAGCTAAAACCATATCTCTTTTCTTTGCTTATAACATCCATTTCCTGCATAGTTGGACTAACTACACTTTCTTCCCCTGGTTCTGTTTGCTTTGTGTGTAGATCTTCCTGCCACTGTTTACTCTCTTTGGTTAGAGCTTTGTATATCTCTTGGGAAACAGGTGTGAATCTTTTCTGTTGCCAGAATCCTCTTTCTGTCCCAGAGTGGCTATCTTTGAAAAACTTTGGCATTGATACCTGGACATTAGGTTGCATTAGGGTTTTCTGAGTTTTGTGGTGAGACTTTGCATGACTTGTCAGTAAGGCTACTATGTTGGGTACTTTACCCTGGTACTTCTTTGAGCCTGATCTACTACTTTGATAAACTGGCCCTGTCAAAACTGGACCTCTTGAAGAAGGATGTAACAAGCGTCCTTTTGTGGCACTTCTCCCTCTGAACCAGGGGGCTTTCACACTCATTAGAGGCTTTTCATGCTTAAAGTTAACATATTCCGGGCTACTCCACATCGCATGTTGTCTAATTCGATCATCTACTGTCCAAACAGCAAGACAATTTTTTGGGATATGCTGTGGCTTACGCAGGAGAGCCATTGAAAAGTTTACATCAGATTGGGAACATTTAACATGGACAACATCATTTACAGTATCAAAAAAGTTAGGGTCTTCACTGAACACAACATTACGTGGAACATAACATATAACTGTGTTGCCTACATCCACTTCCTTGGAAAATGAACATAGAGGATCCATATTCTTAGGTATGATAACAATCCTGCTGGCTTGTGGAGCTCGCTGCTGCAGGCTTGAGTATGTTGGGTCAAGGATTGCTATTTGCTGCTCTGTCTGAAGACTTAACCTCCGGTGCTGCCTGTTGCTGTCAGGAGGGAACTGTAAACTAGTAGGGGATGCCTGAAACAATGAGTCACTGGCTTGGTATGTTTGGCACAAATGTGAAGATGCATGTGTGGGTAAAGGGTGTTGCTGGAGTGGTGTATCTAGTGCATGGATGGTGGCGTAGCCCGGATCTCTTCACATGCTGGTCATACTGGAACGCTTTAGACTCCGTTCTACTTGGTCTAACTCCCACAATACCTGAAAAATTACAGAACTAAATAATAACCAGACAATATCACACTATCAATATTTTGAAACTTTAATATGCATTATTTTAAAACCAAATTATGATATACAAAATACTGGAGTTCAGAACACTTTACTTACCTCGAGCAAACACCCAGTACTCCAAGATTGTGCTGGGTTGGAGTCTTTGCAGTAGGCACCTTCAGCATTGGTCAACTCTGGGAGTGAACGCCAGGTATCACTCAGCAAGTAAGTTAGATGAGGAGCCATGAGAGATTTCACATGACCTAAAGTACGTCCCAGCTCTTCAAATCCTCCAACTTTAGAAGCAATTGCTAATTGTGCACGCAGAAGCCATCCTACAGGCCATAGCCATTCCTGAGAAATACAAATTTTTAGAATGATTGTAGCTCATTTTAACCATTCGAAAACACCTGCTATACAAATAATTGCAATCCACAATGGATAGTTATCAATTATAAAGTTAGATATGAATGTTGGGAAAGTGCTACCAACAATGATATAAAGATAAACACCTCAAAAGGCTGAGCCTTTTCTACACACAATACTTTCCTCTGCACGAGATCTTGTGAAATCATTCAAGATCAAGTAAGTATCAAAAGAAGGCACCAAGCCGGGGAGACCATATCACCATAAAATGTGTAAATATCACCAAGGATACCAAAAGTATCAGATTCACCAAGCATTCTATCGAGGGCCAAGTGACCGCAAGGGACAGTCGGAAAGCAAGACGCATGCACATCCTGGAAGTTGGGACATTCAACAAGGATATGCACGACTGTAAGAGGGACAATGCAGTTTTGACAATAAGGAGTAGGGTGATGCTCCATTAAGTGCCCACGAGTTAAATGGGTATGGCCAATACGTAACCTTGCCAGAGCTGTTTCCCTTACCGCAGGTTACGGTGGTAGGAGGATGGCCATACCTGGAGGGAGTTTCGGGAGTTGTTCTACTCCCCGAGCCTGGCCTGAGGCTAGGCTCGACTTGCAAGAGCTTGGTCTAGCAGGCTATTGCTTGGAGCAGCCCTCAGGCCCACATATCCACTACAACCTAGTTGATCTGGCACTTCTTGTGAACTTATCTAAATGCTTCTTGAAGACATCCATCTTTGTTCCAGCAATATTTCTAATGCTTGCTGGGAGGGTATTGAACAGCCGCAGACCATTCAATCACACAACTCTGACACATATCATTAACACCAAACCAGTCACTCATTGCTCCAGTAACTCTTACATGTGCGCTGGGGAAACTAAAGGGAAACTTTTCACAACATTTAACATGACTGCCTCTTTGCTTGTGTGCTCTCTCAACTTCCTTATTGTAAGAGCCCCCAGTCTCTTAAACATGACAAAGCTAACACAGCTAAACACACAACCTTTAAGGAGCTTTAAAGCAACAGGTGCAACAAGCCTTTTTGTACCTGTTGCCTCACTACTCATTGAGGTGGGTATGGGATCCATCACCGCCCACAGGGTGGGTTTGAAGTATATAATAAATGAGTAACGAGTCAAAACTCGAGCCACTCATTCTAACACCTCGCACTTCCTATTCATTTTCCTCCTCTGCTCCAGGTGTGTACACACGTGGGCGTGTTGGTCGTTTATCTAACAGGTGTCGAAGATCAGGAAGAGAAAGCAGGACATTTGGGGGAAGATAAATGGAACAGACTATATATACCATTTACTCAAAGATATGGGCTGCAGACCACCGAATGTGCGACTTAAAAAGTAGGGGGACGAAGGGAATATCATGACGGATCAAGAGCAGTAGAGTTATGGGCCCCAGCAAAAGCTGGAGGGGAAGAGAGAAAGGAATTACCATGGGGGTGACCAGGACGAGCATCAAGCATTGGCTCCTGGAGACAGACACAAAGTGGTGAAAACTGCATGATTAAAAGTTGGAGTTCATGGAAGTTGGCATAAAATACACGAATATTCCATTGAAGAACAGACAGACAAAAGAGATAACAAGTGAGAAATAAACGCAACGAAGAACACAGACTAAGATCAGGATCAGTGAAATTGGGGTGACAGTAGGTAATCAATGAAATAGATAATGCAAGCAAAGATAATGGATTAAGGGAGTGGGAGAACAGACCAGAGGTGGACTGACGAGTCCAGAGCATGTCCAGATAGGATATGTTTTTGACAATTTTATCAAATCTGTTTTAAAAATTAGTATATAAAAAAAGAATTTGTACAAAATTTTTACCCATATTTAGTTCAGAAAGTATGCTTGTTGCTCAATATTTTTCTAAATTTCCACTGCAACAAAGTTTTATGGACACTTCAAGCCTTCTGGTCCATCTAATCTTCTTTTAAATAGGTTAACAATGTACTGTATATAGTAAATAATTACTACATAGTTTTGTATATTACTGTAGTTAACTAAGATAGGGGGGGGGGGGGGGGGGGGGTTAAGCAACTGATGTGCCAGTGAATTACAATAATGAGCATGATGGTTCTAATTACTGCCACTATCATAGAAGGATTTGTAAATACAGAACAAAATTATTATAACTTACAGGTCCCTGATGATAGTTCAAGCCATGAGCAACCTTGGGATTTGCCGAATTGTTTGAATTATCGTAGTTACCATCATAAGCCCAATCTTTGGGGTCCAGAGTCTTTATACCCAAAGGTCCTAGCAAGATCTTTTCTGCATTCTTCAATGCAACCCAAGCATGCTGCGGGGTTACCATTTCAGGAGCCTGAAAAAACAAACATTAAATTAAAAAAAAATTATACGTACTGTATAGTAAATTCAATAATGTAGAATGCTATCATAATATTCACCAACAAATATTTTATTACACATTTTGTGTTATATATTATTTTGACAATCGTGAAAGAAAATAAATTTTCTCATAGCTCAACTTACGACAGCTATGGCAATAGGGAAATTGCACCGAAGCTGATAATCTGCCCAGAATTGAGAAGCATTATAGGAATCCTTGTAGATGCCTCGCCGATGGATCAGCTCTGGTTTTGCTTCCCTTTCAGGTGCAGGCTGTTCACTGATCCAGAAAAGCTTTTCAAAGTTTTCCTGTATCTTCTTTTCCCAGAATTCATATGTCCACTTAGTTACATTTCCTGAAATGGAGGGGAATGTTAGCCGACTAGTGCCTGCTTTTACTAAGTCTATTGATATAGCAATTTTGACCTCCCCTCCCTCTTTCATACCAAAACAAACAAAAAATCTTCCAGAGTCAAAGTATTTTACCTGTATCATCCCGTCTCTCAACACTGTTGTAACTGAATTTGTGTTCATGGTGCATCTGACCCAAGAAACGTAGAGCAGACTTGCACAGACCAACGAGCTCTACTGCACTTCCATCACGAGGAGTTGCAGGTTTACCCTTTGTATCAGCCAGCTCACTGGATCCCATCTTGTCCATCCATGTACCGCAGTTATGAATATTGCCCCCGTACACAAAGCCTGTTAAACAGTAGACAAGATTATTAATATTAAATAATCCTAAAATTCAAGTACCTGTACATATGGCATTTTAGTTTGAGAAATTCCTTAATTTAAATATTTTCATATTAATATTACAGAATTGGCACCTCATTTACACCTTAAAATGTTAGCTTTCTGGACAAATTTCAGATGAATACTGAAAAAAGTAACAAAAAATAGTGAAGGAAAAAAAAAAAAAGTTAGGATAGCTAACACTTTCGCTCGTTAATGACGCAGTATGGCCTCAAAAATTTAGTAGACAAATGTGCAGTAACGATGCAGTATGAAACCCTCGTTGCTCATCTAACGATTGATCTCAAAAATTTTAAAATTTGACCTGCTTTTGGCTTGGCTGTAGGTGGGGCACACCGCACTTTTAGACTTTATATGCATACATTCATGTAGGGAATTCTATTACGAATACATTGATACCAAAATGAAAGACCTAGGACGAGAATTGACATGACAAAATTGAAAGTGTGAAAACCAACATTCAAAAACCAAAGAAACATTTGAAAACCATTCAAAACCAGTGCGCTCCCGTGGAATGTGCGGCGCACCTTGGGGTGGTCTGGTGCTCGCTCACCCGGCGAGTGTGTGTGTTAAGGGGCAGGAATGGAGGGTTGGGGGACCAGGAGGAAGAGGATGACAAGGAAATTTGGGATCAGGATACTATATCCAAAACACACAGAGAACACTGTATAAACATCAGAGGTCCACGGTTGTTCAACACCCTCCCAGGGAGCATAAGAAATATTGCCAGAACAACCGTGGACATCAAGAGGAAACTAGATTGTTTCCTCTAAGGAGTGCCGGACCAGCTGGGCTGTGGTGGGTACGTGGGCCTGCGGGCCGCTCCAAGCAACAGCCTGGTGGACCAAACTCTCACAAGTCAAGCCTGGCCTAGAGCCAGGCTTGGGGAGTAGAAGAACTCCCAGAACCCCATCAATCAGGTATCAACCAGTATATTAACAAAACCAGTTAGGTCTTTTTCCCTGATAATTTCCTCCCTTCCCTCAATGTTTTTTTGTCCTGAATAGCACCTGAATTCTTTACAAAGAATTCAGGCGCGATTGTCACTAGGCGGGAGGCACTAGTAAACTGAGGCGCGGTCACTGTGCCACCACGCACTAGGTCAGCCATATGCGTATCAACAAACTATGTTACCCGATTCAGATTTTACAAAGAAATTGAGCTTGAAACCCGAAAAGTTTGTAAAGAGGAGCATTCGTAAGCCAAGGTGTCACTATACTTTTATACAAAGATTATAGTAGATTCAGTATTTGACATTTGATAAGTATTTGAACTGATGGATTCAGTTTTCTTTAGATTGAAAGACAATATCTTACCAGTTTCCGAATCTACTCCAATTTCGTTATTGAAACCCTCGTTGCTCATCTGACGATCGATCTCAAAACCAGCATTCCTCTCACGGAATTTTACTCCTTGGAAATGACACTGAAGTGCTTCTTGGATTACATCTTCTAACAGCTGGTCCTAAAAGAAATGAATCAACATTGGATTGTTTAGTAAATAATGATTGAAGCGTCACAATTCCTGGATTCTCTCTGAATATTTCAATAAGTGCAATAAATATCTATGCCTTCTGAGGATGAGGTGCTGCAGTCTGGTGGTGCCTGCAGTAGCTGGCCAAGTGACCCAATTATTACCTACTGAGAAGGGCAGCCACTAGTGATGCTTTGAGTTTGTGCTTTGACCTTACTCAAGGAAATTTTAAGTTTCATTGATCATTTTTTAGTTACAAATCCTAGCCAATAGCCAGAGTTGATTTTACGTTAAGGAGCAACCAAGTGTACTGTACAGCTCAGAAAGGAGTTTTTGCATATAAACTCAACTCGAGTCTTATTTTTTTACCTCTGAAAATTTCAGTTGATTAATTATTTCACCAAAAAGAGCCACATCACATTTTAAACTAAGAATTTTGGACCATGGCATTTTAAATTTAAGAGAACTATAATTGTTTCCTATATAGTATTTATATCCAAAAAACTAAATTTATTACATAATTAAACTTACATGTTTGCCTGGTTCCTGTGGGGGTGAATCGTCAGTTGGGAAAAGACGTGACACCTTGTCTTTCAGAATTTGGTAGCCATTCGGAGCAATTGTCACATATCTGAGAAATTACAAATGGCATTAAACTAAAATGTTTATAGCTACAGAAATTGACATTCTAAAGAACATAAAATAATTACAAACTGCCTCATTTTCCATAACAAAATGCATTGTTGCTCACCTCTGGATAGCCTGAAGCCAGAACCAAACAGCATCTCGACAATTAAATCGCGCTTTTATTCCGCCATCAAGTAGATTTGGAATGAGACCATGACGTAAGGTGCCAGCAAATGCCAAGATGATCCACCTAAAAAGTGGATGACAAGAAATAGAGGGAATACAAAACTTCTTCATACACATTTATAATCCATAAACAAAGTAGTAATATGGAACTCAAAGTTTAGTTTGGCAATGTTTGTCTGTCTCGCCATATGAGATGATCATTGAGAGAACATCTGAATATCAAACACACCTGAAAAAAAAGGAAGTGAAGATGTTTAAGTTTGTCTTGTACCATCATCAAGAAAGAATAGTTTCCTTCTTACTTTCTCGCCTTCACTTCACATTCTTGCCTTATAAATTAAGAAACTCGACCACTCTCTCAACACTAATTGATAATGGCCCCACGACCGACTGAAACACTGTTGCGTCCTTTCTTTTCAGGTGTGTGGGGGATGGGTGTCTAACTCTCAATTGTATTAATAGTTATTAATCACTTTCCTTGACTCGCTCAACTACCTATTATATCAATCGATATCTCAAGTATTTAAACTAATCAACTCCATCTAGCACTTCACTTCATGTTTATTCCTTTGGAAACCTGTGAATGATTTTGATATTTTTTATCTCATTGCAGCAATTGCTGGTCTGAGGCTGTTTTTGTACCCAGCTGGGTCACAAAACCATCACATTCAGGTTGATCCAATAACTGCAATAGAAACTTAAGTTCTCTTGCAAGTTCCTACTTTTGTTCCAACAATATTTCTTACATTTATTGGCAAGATGTTGAAAAAGTAATGGAGCACTGATATTTACACTATTTTTCTGCCTATAGCTGCAAATTATTATCGAGTATTTTACACTCGGCCTTATCTCTCACTTCAGTAATGTGTGAGAGATGTAATGTCACACTGTCATTGTGCAGTTTTTGGATCTGACCTTCCATTGTTTTCCATATGACTTTCAGGCAGTCTCGGTATTTCAAGTACTCGCCTAGTTGTGCTTATACTCACTCAGTTGTGCTGAAGACGCCTCCAAAGATTTCTGATTAACCAGGCTGTGATTCCTATGTCAGACTGAGTGGCAGCATTTAACAGCCTGGTGACCAAACCACCAATCAGGAGAAGTGGTCAGCGACTGGGGCCACAAGGTGATCCTCGAAATCCCATTAGGATAACCTCATGGTTAGTTGCTTCTTTCTATGAGGAGATCTGACCAGGTCTCTTATATTTTACTCCTTTTACAGGTTTTTTAACTGAAGTAATTAGGATTTATTATTGTCCAATGTTCTTGTTTTCTGTTACTAAATGTTCTGATATCCTTGTTGATATCTGACTGCACCTTTTTTGTCTTCCACTGTTGCAATGATTATACAGTACTGCACTTATTTTAGTGTCATCCACAAGGGACGAGACAGAACAGTGGGTTGTAATTTCTCCACATTTTCTGTGGACGAGAGTAATAGTGTGAGGACTGTACCTTGTAGGACCATGCTTCCTGTTGCATTCTGGCTGGATTTTGTTAGATTTACTACCACTCCTTTCAATCTTAAATTTGTTGAACTTCATTTAGCTATTTTATCTGTTATTCCCATAGTTTTAACTTAGGCTATTGCAGTTATATTTATAAAATGATTTTGCAGTTTGCCATAAACTGATAAGTTGTCTTCTTAGCATAATTTTAAAAACTTTAATGATTTGAGATGTTAGTGTGGCTGGTTTAGTTTTTGACCAATGCTTGATTACCTCCATTAGATAGTTGGACAATATCTGCAATTTTTAGGATGTCACCTGTCTTCAGGCTTTTTCCTCCATATTATAAGGTGCAGATGTTAACTATTTCCCACTTTTTTTTTTTTTAAACCATATATTTCAGGAATCTGGCCCCAGAACTGGATGCATAGGCATACTGTATTTCCTTTTCAGTCTGCGGGGTTTATTGTGAGATCTGATATGCCTTTGTGTGGACAAAGTTCATTGTGTCCATTGCATTGCTAAATAGTCTGTACTAGTTCTTAAGTAAGAGGCCTATACAGGAACATTTTTTGTTCTCTTTACACATGTAAATTTTTTTTTATCTTTTTCTTTAATGACTTTCCATTATTTTTGTCACTCATTACACCATAACTCAGACCTGCACTGCTTCCTAGCATACAGTATAAACATTTCACAGCATTTTAACAGAACTTGGCCAACTACATACCCATTCGTTACCCTCTAAGTACTACTTTATTACCATTGTTCCAAGTATTTTTATAATTCCATTAAGGCCATGCACTCCTTAATCTTTCTTACACACCTTTAACAATATATATGATCAATAAATATTCGATAAATGAACCCTCTAGTACAGAACCCACTTGGTTCATCACTTCCATACCAAACATACTCATTCTTACCTGGCTTCTTCATATCTCCCTGGGATGAGGAGGTTGCCAGGCAGTGCAATAAAAGTATCTCGACCCCAATTACGCATGTAACCAACGGAGAAGTGTGGGAGTCCTGAAATAAACATAGCGTATTCATCTTCTAAATTTGGCACACAGTATTTTGATTTAACCAACAAATTTAATGCTCTTAAACTTTACAATTTCATACCCTAAGGAAATTAAAGCTTATAAAGAAAATTGACTGATTACAACAATGTCAAAATTGAACAATGTAAATGCTTAATAACTTACCAGCAGCAATGGTAGCAGACAACTGTATCTGGTTACCAGAAGCATCAGAGACAACTGGAGGCTGAGGTAATGCTAGATTTGGTGATAATGGTGGCAACAACGAAGACCTCACTGTGCCACAGAACTGTACCGAGCAAAGACTCAAGGCCTTTACAAAATCTGAACCCTGAGATACAAATCTGAAAAGAAAATGGATACACTGCATTATATATCAAGATGCAATATATTGTACGTAAAAGAAACTAGCCAATTACTGGGCAGTGATACCTCGGTACTTTAATGACTGAACTTTAAAAATTCAGAACTCGAACACTTTATTCGAGAAAAAAAACTTGGAGGTTGACCGTTAACTCGGCACTCTCCCGTACAAATGTGTCAACACACGGCAGCCGTACAAACGTATCAACACACGGCAGCTGAGAAATTGGCTTCAGGAGGAGGAGGAGGGAAGGGAGGATGTCCCTAGATGTGCAATATACATGTGGAAAAACCACATGTGAAAAACAGAGAAGGATAAACACGTTTTTGGCTCGATTCGCCTTCATCAGAGCATTTTAGAATTATTCTAAAATGCTCTGATAAAGGCAAATCGAGCCAAAAGCGTGTTTAGCATTCTCTATTTTTCACATATGTTTTTTTCTGCATACTTGGATCAGTGTTTTTGTGATCATGGTTGCATATATAAATATACTGTATATCTATATAAATATATATATATATATACACAGTACAAGAATTCTTACATTTTTGTACAGCCACTAGCATGCATAGCATTTTGGGCAAGTTCTTAAACCTAATTTTCCCCAGAATACGACCCGTCAAATTGTTTAACAACCAGGTACCCATTCACTGCTGGGTGAACAGAGGGTACAGATAAGGATTGGCGGCAAGTAAATCCTCCCCAGCCAGGATACAAACTCTGCCAAAGCGCTCCCGAAATGCCAAGCCACTGGCATGTCTTACCACTTCCCCATGGGAAATTCAGTTCGAGTACCGAGGTATCACTATGTTGCACAGAATTATAATATATTTTTATTCAAATAAGTAAAGTAGGTAAAGAGCCTTACAACAGTCTGTTTAAAACAATGCATACCTAAAAGTATTTTTCTGGGAGCATCTTAGCTCTAGTCTTTATTGATATGTCCATGCTGCAGTGATGTGAAAATTACTGTCCCATTCTCTAATCAGCATGAACATAATACTGTATTAGCTCAAGTTAAACATGTTTCATCTTATCTATATAACACTATTTACTGCAGAATTTTGACATATTTATGAAATACTTGAGAGCCAACCATAATAACTAACAGTGGCACCACAGACAACATTTTCCAACTTTCTTACAGCTAGAGTTGCAGAAGTTGCAAAACACACAAAACATTTACAAGCCCTATTTAGCAACCCTGAGATCACCCAGGAGTGCTCTAACTACTGTTCTGGATGGCTTGTTCTGTTGCTTACTCCTTCCACCACAAGGTGGCAGTACTCTAACCAAAGCATGGTTCACCCGAGTCACCTACAGACTGTGTTCCTCGATGGAAGGCCAGGCAGAGAGCCAGATTGAAGTTAATTTGACTACAAAATCAATTAAAACTGATTTCAATTTAATTCTACACTATGGAATCATGCTTATAGTTTTCATGAATGACTTTTTAAGTTTAGTCTGTTTCTCTCTGGTTTGTTTAGTCAGCAGTGCTTGACATGGCTTTGTGAGCATGTACTTAAGCTGTTTACTTTAGTCATGTGTGGGTGTGGACTGTGTGGTTTTTCCTAGGTCTCACCTTGGCTGGCTCTAAGTCTAGTCCAGGACAGTGGACCTGGTGGTCTGTTACTGGTCTGTCTACTAATGGGTGCTCCAAATGTTGGGCAGCATTGCAAGGATCTATAGCTCACTGCAGAATGGAAGTGAAGAACAGTATTGTACTGTATTGAGGTCCTGAACACTCATCCTTTGTCTCTCCTGCATCTCCCATTGAATTTAAAGCAATTTTCACTGTGGCATTTGGGCAAGGTCCTAAATGGATCCTTCTTGGCCGGCTTTGTATACAAGCCAAGCTCTCTCGAGATGTCTTAAATTTCTCTCCCACGATAATTAATTTTACTCCCCCCTCAAGCATGCTTTGTACATAACCATACCATCTCTACCTGACCAATTCATAATGAACTCTTATCACTAGGCCTAGTCCCAAGGTTGCCACTATTTTCACTTGTTCAGTAATCTGCATTACCATCCCAAATTCTTTAAGAAAACTTGTACATTGCACAATTCCTGTTTTAAAATAATATTTTGCTTACTCTCCCATAAGTGACCACGCTCTGTTGATGAGAGTCAGGTAGATGCTTGTAACAATGGAATCAAAATAAGCGGGGATGAGATAGCGTGGAACCTCCTTCAGCCACCCGAACACCTCCTGCAATATCAAACAAGTACGATAAAACTACACACATTAATAAGCCAATAAAGTGTTACAATAATGTGACTATGAAAAATATTAATTCTCACCCATTAACTAATAATGAAACAGACTTACATGCATATACTGTACTATTGATATATTCTTTAATGAAAGCTTACAAATGTTGGCAGTGTCTAATGATCGTGCATCAAGTACTCTATCAGCTCTCCAAACAACTTAAGTACATAGTACATATGCATTCTGCTTACCTCAAGCCACAGAGCAAGTTGTTGGGTTGAAGGCTCTAATTTAAGTCTGGTCACAATATAATCTGGCAACCAGTCACCATCACGCAAATTCCCACATAGTGGGTGACCCAAATCATTATGTACACGAATCTCACTTAGCACAGAGATAACACCTGAAATATTATTGCAAAAAATATGTAATGAGAATTAAAATTTTATACTATGTATTTTTTTAGGAATTGGTATGTAATTTAAATTTACAATATTTTGCATACATTTTTTTCTAGGTTTGACATACTTGTGGATTCCGATCTTAAAATTACCCCTCAACTGCAGACTACCAACTTTAATTTGAGATTTTTTTTTTTAAATATATAACGGCAAATATTCAATTAATCTGGTCAAAAATTTTTGAAAAGTCTTCTGCATCCAAGATGATAAATAGTAGTAACCATGCATTTTAACATGGTGAATTCAAATATAATAATTAAAATTGCTGAATAGCTGATGTGTTATGTGTAAAGGTGGCAACAAAATCTTGTTTGAATCAACAAGTGGTGGATTGTGAACATTGTTCTCCCAGGTTCCAATAATGGCCGGAGTGGCCAGTCTCTCATGACAATGGGAATCTCCTGCACAACTATCCCACTCAAAGAAAATAGTACTGTATGTAACCAGTGGGGAGCCGGTAGGCCGAGCGGACAGCACGCTGGACTTGTGATCCTGTGGTCCTGGGTTCGATCCCAGGCGCCAGCGAGAAACATTGGGCAGAGTTTCTTTCACCCTATGCCCCTGTTACCTAGCAGTAAAATAGGTACCTAGGTGTTAGTCAGCTGTCACAGGATGCTTCCTGGGGGTGGAGGCCTGGTCGAGGACCGGGCCGCGGGGAGACTAATAGCCCTGAAATCATCTCAAGATAACCATCTCAAGATAACCCACCCTGCAGACCCATCACAAGAGTAGCAACTTCAAGTTCTTACAGAGCTGCCACTGATGTTAGTCATCATTTATGCCCATCAAAAGCCACTTCATGTTGTCCTAAGTTTCCTTCATCTGGGCTGCATAATCAAATGGAAATGATAGCAAAACACTCCCATTATGCAGCAAAATAGCTTTAAGACTTATGGATGAAAACTGGAGCTAATCAACAATTTTAAACAATTTTTCCATTCTCAGTGACAGATTTAGTCAAGATTGACCTCATTTGTTTCAGAAGCATGTAGACCAATGTTATCAGGAAGATACAAAGTTTATATAGGGTGACACCTGCTTAAGAGGGAAGGCTCATCTGAAGTGGCATCCTTCACACCACTGAATGTCTACCATTTTTAAGTCATAGTTTTACATTATATTTTGATTAATGAAACAAATGACATTTGATTTTCCCATGTTAACAATAGAAAGCCTCATTAGGCTTATTGAAATCTTCCTAGTTGCCTACAATAGTTACTTACTCACAGGTACTGTACTTATTTACTATTAGGTGAACAGAGCACCAGATGAAAGGAAACATGACCAAACATATCCACCCATCCCACTACAACTCTAACATTTAAAAAGACTTTAAACAAAACTTGAAATCATTTGGATAAATGAACAGCAGGAGCAGCTCCAGTAACAAAGACTGCTTGATATAAATGAATATCATCTTGTTTGGCAGAGATAAATAATAAATAAAGAAATGTTTATTCAGGTAAGGTACATACATACAAGAAATTTCACAAAAATTTATATTTATAGATAGAGCTAGTACATACAATGCCTAAAGCCACTATTACGCAAAGCGTTTCGGGCAGCTTGGATTACTGAAACTGTACAAAAGAAAGTGTTTACCTTGAAGGCCACAGTAGACCAGAGGTCCAGAGTTGGGGATGGTATATGATCCAGAGCCACGCCCTTCATCCTTTTCTTCCTCTTCACACCGATACAGCACACGGTTAAGGTCTACTAAACTGAGATTGCTAACAATTTCTGATAATGCTGCATTGTTAGTGGTGACTTCAGAGATACGGGACTGAAGAAACAAAAGAAAATAATTAATATTATTTTCCTGCCAAATGCTACCAATTCTTAATCATTTTTGCACTGCAACTGTTAAGATTGCCATATACTGTATGTACTGTATTCTCAAATTAATCCTTGAAAAGACTATCATAGATATTACTTCCTATACTCTTTTCTTATTTTCACTTGATAAATGAAAACTTCACAGATGCATAAACAATGGATGAAAAGGGTCAGTGGTTCATATAACTTGGGAAGCTTCTACAACCTTGGCCAGTCTTGGAATACTGTATATCAAATATAGTATGTATGTAGCATACAAACTCATATAGTAAATACTGTACACTTGAATTGTAAAAGACTTCTCCTTTATACAAGCTACCTCATATGACGTACAAAAATCTGGGTGGTAAAGAACCACATCATAAGAATAGCTGCTATCAACGGGAATACTTATCACTGCCTAACAAACTATTAAATGAAGTGAATATCGAGTAAGAAGCCAACTATTCTATGTAATGAATTAAATGTGTCCAAAACTAGTTACTGAAAGACTACCAAGAAGTATAATGCATAAAACACACACACAAAACAATTAACTGCATGTTGTTGGCCATGAGTGCCCTTGTTAATGTGTGCTCTGGAGGTACTTTCAACACCTGCCGCTCTGGCTAATGTACAAGCAAACACTCCACTTTATATACTTTTCTTCATCCTATCCTAAATCCTCATCTCTTACAACAGCTTTACAGTACTGTATAGTCATAATGGCTTAGTGCTTTATGAACTGCTCACCTATTTCTCTGCATTATTTTACCATTAGAATTCATATTGAAGCCAAGACTATTTAGAAGAAAATATATGTACACACTACTCTGACCAACTGTGATAATCTAGAATAACATTATGGACTAGTAAATCATATGAAATTACAGTCAAAACCAGATTGTCAAGTAACAAATCTAGTAAAATTTAAAAATAAATGTTATGCACGAAGAAATGTTAAACTTACACCCATTTCACCCTTGTGAAGCATGAAAATAAAATGTGATTTGATTAGTCTTATAAAGTCAATATCGTGCAAGACTCGTACCATTTATCTATCCTCTTAATGTAACATGGCAAAATTCTAAATAGCACCAAAATTTATGATCCAAGAGGTACAGTTTCTGCAACACTAAGTCAGGTCATGCTGATCTTTAAGATTCACATAAATAGTAAGAGCAAGATTTTTCGCCTCCCTGTTTTCCATTAAATAGATTACTTGTAAATACTAGAAAAGTCAACCGTTTCTTCTATTATACATAAACAGCATGACCTGGCATTTTTACCCTACTGTATCTGGCAGCAAGGATGCATTGTTGGTCTAATACAAACTTAGTTTTGCCAAGCCTTTGGTCATGATTGTTGTAGATAAATGGCACTGATTTATACACAAGGTAATGAAACTGAGCAAAATATTTATACAGTTAATACTGTTTTTTTTTTATGTACTTTATTTTATGTGGGTTGTAAATTTGATGTTATGTAAAGCAAGGACAAATTTATTCATTCTATAGTTGACAACATATTAGTTTTTATTCACCATCACCCTTAAACCATTTCTTATTTTCATGGAGTTGGGGAAGCACTTTATTGGGTACGTTGGAAAGGTGCAGAGGATATATTTTTAAGAGATAATGTATAGTATTTATTTAAAACATTCATAGCAAAGACCAGACATTGTTGCATTATTAACAACACGGGAAGAGAATACTAAATGAAGTGGCATTTCCAAGAGGGTTATTAATTTGGGGACAGAACATAGATAAAAAAAAAGCCAAAAGATTATGTTGCCAAGATGTCAATGTGTGAATTAATTAACATTTGCTAATCCATAATAAGTGATATTATGGCCATAGAAATCCACATTAGGTTTAATTACCATAACTGCCTAGCCTTCCAGCAAACGACACAAACAATAGAGCAACTCGATGCAAGATGAGAACGTCTCGTAATACTGTAATACTCAAATCTTAATTGGAAGGCATAAGAGGTAAGAACAGAAGAAAGATGGACAATTTAATTTCTTTAATCTTACAAAATTTCAAAGTTTTAAAATCTACTTAATACAATTAAAATTGTATGTTCAACAAATTGACATCCACAACCTAGAGGTCTAAAATTAATTCTGTGCAATGAAGAGGATTACAAGTATTAAAGACAAAACAGGGACACACTGTCAGTGTGAGTTTAAGGAAAAACCATGTGCTGGGCAGTGTACAGCTTATCTCCATCTTCTACACATTGTACATGGGGAAAATATAGAAAAACATCACCTTTGAGATCAAGTTCTCTCACCTTATAGCCAAACTCAGACAAAGCTCCACGAATCTTATTTACAGCAGATTGAGCACGAGGAAGTAAGCTTAGTCTGGAAATGCAAAAGAGCAGAATTGTCAAACAATAATTGTGTATTAATACACCTAAGTTGTATAACTGAGTTATATAGTATACTGTATAGATAAAACATTTAACCTTTAGAATTATCATCAATGTCAGTAATTCTATAAATTAAATCTTCAATAGTTTGGACCCAATATGAGCTCCCTATCCATAATGGATTGGTTTACATTTACAGCAATTAAAATGCTTCACATTTTTTAAGGTTTTTCAATGAGAAAACAATCTTTAATTTAGTCCATCTTTAAAAAATATGCATTTATTAAATATTCAACATTACCTGAAGGCAATGACTGATCCAGGTGTGAAATTTGGTGTGTATTCACACTCCGTAGTTTCAGAATCACTGCCCGAAGTCACCCGTACCATACTTGACTGACTGGGTGACACGCGTTCCTTCACCTCCACAGTAAATCCAGTTATTCCATTAATGTATTCCGAATCATTTGTGAAGAGTCCAGGAATGTTTTTGTCTTCATCACTAAAAATATGTTTAACCATTAGAATGTTTAGAACATATTTAGACAATTTAAAATTATTTTATGAATTAGTTTTACATATCCTGTATATAAATGCAAGTACAATATGTGAAAAGTAATTAGTAATTCAAAAAGGAATGTACAGTACAGTAAATGTTCTATTATCCAGTATTGACGGGACTTACGCTGCTCTGGACACCTGAACATGCTAGAAAACACAATGGCCAGCAAGAGTGTGTTCTATTGTAATACTGATAATTCAAATGTTAATAAGAAATGGGGAATGCAAAGGTACTTTAATGGAAATGTTAAGGAATGGGAATATAGAAAAAATAAAATGGCAAGTTGGAATCAATGATACAGAATTAATGTGATATGATATCAATATAGAATTTGGTTACGTGAATGCATAAATACAAGTACAAAACAAATAATTATAATTTTACAATAAATTCAAGTACCTAAATTGTAAATTCCTTCCAAATCATGATACTGAATTCCTGGCAAGAATAACTATAAAACTTTCATTCCTTCAATACTCTGTATCGAGCGATGTTACATTCTAAATTACAAAACATGTAAATATTGGTCCTGTACCAAAGTGTTCCACTTCATCAACTCTCAGCCTAAGGTCCTTGGTTCAATTCCCACTGCAGGACAGACAGTTGGGTACATTTCCTTTCACTTGATGTCTCTATTCACCTAACTGTAAATAGGTTGGAATACTAATGGAGTAGAAAACCATGTGTCATGGACAGCTTAATAACTGTGCACAATGTGGTTCAGCTTGAGCACCATCTTCAGGTGTAAACGGGTGGCAACGAAAAGAACACAAGATGGTAATGTCCATGGATGGCAGTACAATGACAGCCGACATGACATTCAGATTGTGATATTACTTCGTATTTAACAATGTAAATGTGAAGTACAGAAATGAAAATGACACGAGAAAATTAAAAGCTTCATTTTCTCTTGCTATTATGTAAATGCTAAAATATGGTTTTACTTAAAAGATGTATATTGACTAGATATTTGAACATTGTTCATGCCTAAAGAGTGTATACTTTTTCATAGTTGGGGAGAGAATGAATGCTAGGCATTTCCAGATCCCTTTAAGCCAATGACTTATATATCTTCCGAGGTGCAACCATCAACTAACTTGACTAACTTGAAAGTACACTACCTACAGTGTATTTGGTACTTGGAGAACAAAGGCATCAGATCTAAGGAAACCATGCCCATACGTCACATCCTACACGGCAATTTCACTTGGAACCATATGGCTGAAAGTTGCCTGTGCTGATCACTCCTCTACAGACCTTCTGTATTAAAACACTAAAATTCTTGTAATATAAAGTATTCGACAGTAATTTTAACTTCTTATGGGAAGTATAATGCGTCTATAATTTTTCTTCAGATATTTTGCTATAAACATATTTGAATATGTTTAACCGTGAGGTCTCCATCACACGCATTTTTCTTTTTTTCCTTCCATTATGTAACCAAAAGCTTGTAATTTATATCTTAGTCACCCACTAGCTAACAACCTCTCATTGCTCAAAAGAGGTTTAACAACTATCAGTTTAAACATACGTTATCAAAATACCTGGTATCAGATGTAATTTTTATTTCCTCTATCACACAACAAACACTTAAAATACTGTACTGTTAATGACAATTACATAAAAATCACAAAACTAGCATCTTGCTTATCTAACGGAAAACTTACCTCGCCTTCTTTCCTTTGACTTGCATTTCAAAAATTATCTCTTCCAAACGGCCCTGCACTTTTAGAGGCCTGATAGAGGAGTCACGGATTTGTGATGGTGGTTTGAAAGCCGTGTATGCCACCAACACAACACTCTGGTGGGTGACTGGGTTGTGGCGGGTCACTGTCACCACATGCTCCGTCACCTGGTCCACAAATACCTGTTGTCCACAACAAAATTCCAGGCAATAAGTTAAGGTATTTAGACAGCATTGATTTACTAAGTAATGGGTATATTTAATAAAGTATATAACAGAAATGAATATATTTAATAAAGAGAAGACGAAGAATGAACATGTTAATAAAGTATGCAAGTGAAATAAAGCTGAACACGAGTCGTGTATGGTGTAAAGGCAATAATGTGGTATTCAATTACAGTAATACAAACTCAAAAGGTAACTACAATATTGTAATAATGTATTTTTTAAGCAGAACTACAGTAAGTTCTTTATTTTGCAAATTTGAATTTTAGGATGGAAATGCATAAAGTATTCCTTATCAATTTATTATGTATCGCTAACAACAATTTGCCTCCAATTTAATTTTAAATGTGAAAGAAATAATTGAAACATTATAAAACTTCTAATTAACCCCCAGAATTAATAATTTATATGCCATCTTGTTTTAAATCAATTAAATATATTCATTAAATAAACAAACTCTATACACTCATACAGCTGAAAGTTTGCCAGTGCTAGGCCTTCGGCCAATTACATGGCTGATTTGACTCAACAGAATTTGTTATAAAGTCAGTCATGGTAACTGGACACTTAACTGAATGATCAAATACAATGACCGTTTTCACCCAATTTTTATTTGTCTAATAGTTTGTCATTCGGGGATTCAAGAATCATCATCTTGCTGATCTGAATTATTGCCATACAACATCCCTACACATACTGATTCTTGGCATACAACATCCCTCCACACACTAGTTCTTGGCATACAACATCCCTCCATATACTGGTTTTTGGCATACAACATCCCTCCACACACTAGTTCTTGGCATACAGCATCCCTCCATATACTGGTTTTTGGCATACAACATCCCTCCACACACTAGTTCTTGGCATACAACATCCCTCCATATACTGGTTTTTGGCATACAACATCCCTCAACACACTGGTTCAAAATACAGGGACTGCCAATCAAAGAAATTGTGTAGCAAATATTTATGAGATAACAGACATAATTAAGGCAAACAGTGGCAAGAGTCATATCTGTGTCAAACACAAAGGAAGCACGATAACTCTCTGGTATCCTGCATGTGGAAGTGACACAGGCAGAGGAAGGAGGAGAGAAAAAGAGGACATGACATGGTGATTGCTCATGAACAGTGCTTAGATAAATAACACCATTATCATGGTTGTCATTACTACCAATCCCACAATACACTATACATCTTTTCACACAAGTCATCATTAGTATGCCAAATGTTTTGAGGATCTATGAAAGATAAGATACTTGCCTGATAATATCCATTAGCCCCCATGTCATAATGAAGTTTATTTAGTAGCTTTTTGCATTCAATAATCCCACTCTTAATATTGACCTCTCCCCGAGATGGGTTAGAGTCATTCCAGGCTGAATACACTCGCGTCTCATCTACCACGTGAATCTGAAAAGAACATACAATATGCATTTAACATTTAGAAATACGATAAAGAGTATTTAATAAATATCAGATGAGAAATTAATGGTGATTACAACATTTGAAAAATGTGTTAGATATGAGAACCTGTGTTACTGTAATATCTAAATCACAACTGTGATAGCCAAGGCTATATAGCAGAGCCTTGCTCTTCATGGGGAATGTTTTAAAATTCTTCTTCGTACCAATCTTTAATCCCTGCACTGCGCACCTGCTTTTGGCAGACTTCAAAGTGCAATTGTTAAGGACATATTTTTGTTGTTTTTACAAATATTCAGGTAAAGCTAATGTCAAAATGCCATTTATCTGCCTAATCCTGAAGTTTATTAAAGTCCTCTTCCAGCACCCTACAGTCCTCTTCAGTTCTTACTCGCCTCATTAACTTTGCATCATCTGCAAATATCAACATGTACAACATGACCACTTAAAACAGCAATGGTCCTAGGACAGAGCCCTGCTGAACACCACTTCCCACTCCTCTCCAGTCTGACATGTCCTCTCACTGTGACCCTTTGTTTCCTGTCTGTCAAATACTCCTGTACCTAGTTAGATGCCTTTCCTGTTATCCTTGCTCGTCTCTTCATCTTATGTATTATTTTTTTGTGAGGAGCTGTATCAAAAGCTTTGACAGTCTAGAAAGATGCAAGATACTGCAATTGACTTGGATGCAACTAGACTGCAGTAGGAACAGATTGTTGATGTATTGTGAAAAGTTACTGGATCCTGCGAGTGTAGCTGCAGCTCTTTTCACCCCGTTTTCTTGATCTGCCACTATATAAAAAATACAACCTCCTAACCTAACCAAAAATGTACAAACCCAAGCAACCCACCTAACCAACCAATTCTGATGCACAGAAAACATACTTGTGAGCTGCTACATTTCATAGCAAGTTGCATTTGTAACGTTGGTTACCATACCATCAAAAAATCTTAGTCGAAAGGATTGGTTGCTCTCTTACAGCATATGTCTGATACAGTGGTATGGTTTTGGTTTAACTGTTCATTGACTAATTTGCTAAATAATCAACAAAGATATTGGATGAAAATATTGTTCACTAAAACCATGATAATAGAAATAAAAAGTAATAAATAGTACTAATTTAACTGTGCTTAATATTTAGAATGGTATACATCAAATACGTAAACAGTCAAAATGTTGTTGGAGGGAGGAGCTTCATTTAAATTGCTATTACAAATATAATTAATAGCTACTATTCAATAAAAAAATTTAATCAATGTACTTACATGATGTGGAACAAGCTCATCATAACCTCTGTTAGATCCTGAAGCACAACAGGCCATACTGACTAGAGCAGTAGATGGCAACATATCCCAAGCTGTGCGCACCTCTGCAGGACTGCGGTTATCATGCGTCACATCTAAGAACATAGCATGAGCTATGGAAGGTACCAGAGGCCGAACTGGTGGCAGAAGGAAAGCACCAACAGGTTCTCCTCCATAACGATAAACAAGACGACCCTCTTCATGAGAGTTGGGGGCCGACATAGCCTCTGTAGTAAATATAAAAAAGGAAACATTTATAATTTACACATCATTACTACTGTATTAGTGACTAACATAATATGCTCAAGTTACTGCATAGTTGTAAGATGTTACTACCAAGAATTATTACACGTTTTATGAACATTTTGGATTGTAATTTTACATCATTGTACTGCCTAAGCAATGTGCATCTCATTATATAGCACTACTGTATCTTCAGTTGTTAAGTGGCAGGAATATTTAGTAATATTATTCAGGCTGAAATATTCTGTGGAACAAAATAAATTTGCTTTCTTTTTCCAACTAAGTTAACTTCGTTCTGAGCGAGGTTTCCCCAGAACATTTCTTGCACGGATCAAAAGCAGCGTGAATGGAGACTAAGTATAGCACCTTAATGGCCAAGTATGGATAAAGATTGTGATTAGCATACAGAGTATCTGGAAACAAAGATGAATACCAGTGAAAATTTAAGATGTAAGGATGTGTGGAAGAAACTGGCTGATTGCAGTGTCCCTATATTCAACACTTGTATTTTCTCTTATTTCAACCATACACTGTGTACTGCTGCTGTTTGGCCATATTAAGGAATATATAACATAGCTGGATAAACAGCAGACTTCATTTAAAGCAGATGATAAAGCAATGATGAGCTGACAGTGGGTACATTAAGAAATGTAGATCACTGTAGGGAAACAAATAATTTAAAATAATCTAGGTTGATGGATATTGCACGAGACACATGCAAAATTATTCATTATATTATTAAAAAATTATAGTAACTATAGTTTTTATGACCAGAGTAGCACAAGGGGCACCTATCTAGAGTACAGACCACAGCAGAACTTCAGTTATATACAAACTGGGTTCAATTACAGATTAATATAACAATGTATTAACCCTCAAACTGCACATTGTTTTTTCAGGTTCCTTTCTAGTTGTGCATAAAAAGCAAATCTAGTCAATTCTGTTTCCATTTTTTATCATAAAACATTGATTTCTGATGGGAAACTAACAAAAATTATAATTATTTTAGTTTTGCCACAATAAGGTGAAGAAATGTTATCGTCACATTCTGACAATTTTCAAGTAAATTATTTGTACAAACTTATCACAAATGTCTTGCTGGCCCATAATAATTTAAACAATTTCGCATAGCATCAATGTTTCCGAGCATAAGCATCAGTTAATGAATGGAATGCACCTAAAATGGTGCCAATTTATTTTTAATAATGCCCAGGAAAGGATTTAAGGCTTTCAAGATTTTTTTACCAATATAGCTAATGATTGTCATATTGGAAAATGACAACCCCATAGTGTAGAATGATAACCACTTAAACTATTTAGGAACTTTGCGCAAGACATTAAATCGCTCACAAATGACAGGAGCAATTTAAGGATTAAAAAATTACAAATGGAAATTTAAAATGAAATTAAGAGAATTAAAACTGCATATGTAAAGTAGGTAAAACAGATGCTGAATAGGTAAATGTTGTGATATAGTCATATTACTTGTAGTAAAAATATTCAAACGCAAACAATAACTCATACCTCGAATTAGTGAGTTGATTCCCAAGCGATTTATGAAAATGTTGTCCGTGAGATCAGAATTGGTGAAAAGCTCTGCAATAACGTACAGGTCTGGCCGAACTTTTCTTGCTGCATCCAACATATACTGCATAAAAGAAAAAATCTTTGAATAAACAGGAAAGTTGCAGTTACAAATTACAAGCTTATTATAAACTCAATTCCTCCTTTAAGACACAAATCTAGAAAAAGTAAAACCAGTGGAAATATTTTAAAACATCCTACAGCTGATTTTCATTTGGCCAACACAAATTTATGACAAGACAGAAGCATCTGGCCCTCCCTAAATAATGCACATTGAAAATAAAAATTCAACACTATCCTAAATCCTCCTCCTTATCCTAAATACTTATCCCGTCTAAGTGCTATATAGTCATAACGGCTTAGTGCTTTCTCCTCAATTACCATACCTGTACTTGTATTGATCTATATAACTTTAAAGTTTCCAGAAAATGTGGAAAGTGGAAAAAGCCTAATGAAGTGAAAGTAAAACTAAAATTCCAAGTACATCTGTTGATTTGTTACACAAAATATGGACGTTAAAAAATAATTACAGTATTGATAAATTGACAGATATATAGATGGAATGACAAAGGAGTGGATAAATCAGTCCCATACCCAGAGAAGGCATAACTAAATTCAGTACCCATGCTGCCTGTCATGATGTATGAGAAATACAGAAGTTGGGGAAAGAAAAAATTGCAGTACTGTAATTAGAAAGAGGACCAGTCAAACTCATGAAGGAATACACTCTTTACCCCATACAGTATAAACATGTTGAAAAAACTACTGATGTTCGAATGACAGGCGAATGTATAAACCCCATACCATGAAAACTATATTTTTTATATTATATATACATACAGGGTATACATATATATGGAAGAAAATTTTTTCTTAGGAAAATGAATAAGAAATTCTGAACATTTTCATGTTTCAACGCATTATCAATAATATTTCTTTCAGTAACTGATTTACACTGTATAATTTTCTATGAATTAGTCCTGTCAGTTGAATAACAATCTCTGAAGTGAACAAAAGGCAATACGTACTTTACTGTCACTATATACAAAATAGTAACAAGAATTGATAAAATTAACAAAGAGGAATTCTTGAAACCTGTAACTTTAAGAAAAAGAGGGTGTAGACTAATGATAAGGAAACAAAGGTGCCAAAAAAAATATTAGAAAGTTCTCTTTTTGCAAACAGAGTGGCAGTTTGTAGAGGTCAAGTGAGAAGGCGGTGGATACAAACAACCGTCAGTAGTTTCAGAGCATCATATGACACAGTACCAGGAAGACAGGACACCATGAGTACAGCTCTCATCCTATAACTACACTTAGGTAATTATACTTTGGTAATTACACACACACACATCTGTACAGCATATGCTAAAGAAGCTGAATACGTATTAAAACATTAAAAAGTTGCAAGAAACAGCTGGTGTAAGAAAGTAATATCATTCAGAACCAGCAGTGTAGTACTAATACTATTTTGTCACTTACCTCAGCAACATTAATTGGTGTGGAGTGGCAATTGTCCAAACGAATACCATGGAAAATTTGTGCAGTATGTTCGCAGTAACGTTTCATATGATCCCACAAATAGGGAGAATCTTCAGGCTGATCTCCATACCTAAGTTTAACACTGTCGCCCCAAGCAACCAGTTCTCTCCTCAAGTAAACATACGATTCTTTTCTTGCAAAATTTTTTAATGGATCGTCCCCTATGACCCAGCCATTGTGGGCCATCAAAAAGCAAGCATTTGGGCCAAACATTAAGGCCTCTTCTTCCTCCAGGGTTGTGTCCTTGCCATAATGGGTGAAGTATCTGACGATGAAATTTAACTATAAAGAGCAAATTATAAAACCCAAATCTTCAATGAATTACTTCAAAATTTGTATGTAAATATTAAAAGCTAATGAATAAACAAAATGTAATTTCTCAATGTTCAAACAATGCTTATTTGAAACATTTGTTTATAAAACACTGTAGAGTACATCATTATGAAGTGTTATAATCCTAGCTCCTATTATTGAGTATAGAAGATATGACCTTATGGTACACATGTTTGTTTACCTTCAGAAATGCGAGACCTTTATTGGCATTAATGTGATAGGTCCTGAATTGTATTACATTATAATTAGGTGTTTATATAGTTTGATAAGAATGTTTGCAGCTTTAGGTTACATAAAGTTTATTCACTTTAAATCAGAAATGGCAAGTATTTCTGTCTCTGCCAGATGTAACAGTATTTGGTACTCCAAGCTAGTTTAGATGCACTATGCTGATATGTTATCTAGTATGTTATAAAGCTCAGATGTTACAGTTACACTAAAGATTGAATGGTGGCAATTAAGTATTGTATAGGAGGTTTGGGTAACAGTTTTTACAATACAATCAGTTTACTAAGCCAGCACTAAAGTATGTTGTGCTTTTGGCGGGCTCTGCTAGGTGGCTGGGCTTGGCTGGTGTAATCTTTTTTCTCTAGTTAAGTACCTATAATGTTAAGTACTGTAACTAAGCCACCATCTTATCCTGGTTATAATGTGTATGTTACCTTTGCTAGAACATGTGGATCGTGTAAGCTGGAGTCCGGACACTTCAGCAAGTGAAGCACGAATGGTAATGTTTTAGGTCAAGTTTGTGCTGCCTTTTCAGGGATCGTAGGCCTACCACTAGCTTGCTATACACATTGTCTCCTGCCTATGTGGAGTCAAAATTTTAACGTAATGTAGGATGTGGTAGAGTATTTTTATATTGGGGGATTCATTGATAAACAGTGTAAGTTTTAACTGGAGTTTACCTCCTCTCTTGTCTAGAGCTGTGCTCTCATTTCATAAACATAAACAGACTGTTTATTCTGAATTATGGGAACTAATTCCCAGGAGGGGGGGCGGCAGACCTTGCCTAACTTTCTCTAGAAGTATTCCGTTAGTATTCATGGCCCCCCCCCCATTTCATTCATAAGCCCCATCCATAACATGAAATACAAATGTTTCTAAACACGATAAAATAAAAAAAACATGGACTGCAATTAATTTTGTTTAAATGATGGTACATTTTCTGGATGAGTGAATGCCATACACCTTCCCAAAATGCTACCCACTATCATTTCTGATTGAGAAATGCTCCTACAGCTCAGAATGGTGCCAACAGTGCCAAAACTTGGGCAAAAAATATTTTTCAACTATTTGAGTTGCTATGTAAATTAAATATTTGCTTGCATCAGGGAATAATTAATAAAACTAATATTTTAACAGCTACTAATTAAGTAGAAAGAAAAATATATCCAAGAAAGAAGGAAATGCACAAATGGACGTCGTTGTAAGGAATGCACTATAAGTTTCTGAATAATTATTTATCAATATATAATTTGAACAAAAAATAATAAAATAAACTATTTTTATGATCAATACAGCTTCTGGGGTCTTTCTAAAAGGAAAACTGCAAGACATACTTCCCACATACTGTCCTGGGAAGATAGGCTGGTTTAGTGTAGGCTATGCTAGTATAGCTTAGGTCAGGTCAAGTTGGGAATGGATAAAAATTACTGGTATTATAACATGGCTAATTCCAGGAAATCATCCCAGCCACCCAATCTTCCTAGGCCAGGATTTATCAAGCATTTACATGTAAACTTAAGAAACCTGCACATTTTTCCTCCATCATGGCGGCTAAGTCTATGTTTTTTTTTTTTTTTCTTTTTTTTTTTTGAGATATATACAAGAGTTGTTACATTCTTGTACAGCCACTAGTACGCGTAGCGTTTCGGGCAGGTCCCTGGAATACGATCCCCTGCCGCGAAGAATCGTTTTTTCATCACAGTACACATTTTACTGTTGCGTTAAACAGAGGCTACAGTTAAGGAATTGCGCCCAGTAAATCCTCCCCGGCCAGGATACGAACCCATGACATAGCGCTCGCGGAATGCCAGGCGAGTGTCTTACCACTACACCACGGAGACTGTAAATGTTTAGTAAACAGTTTCAAAACTTGGTAACCCAAGGTTATTATTGTTACAGATAACCTCTTAGCACTTTCCAACTCTTAAGCAGTTTAATAAATGTAAACCTCACCACCATAATTCATCAAAGATATACAGGTTTCATTAGTGAATACGTAAATGCTGGAAAAATCCTGCCACAAATCTTCCTTTTAGATTGCTTTACTGAGCGAGGTTAACCATGATTCAGTAACACTAACAGATACCCCACATGATTTAAAATTAATACTCATAATAAGGCAGATAGACAGGGAAAACAATACCAATATAGACATGCTATTTCTACCTGCCAGAAAGTCGGTAAATAGGGCTAGACACCAAAAATAGAGCTCAGACACTTACGGAGGAACTAAAGGATTCTCTTCGGATACCTCGGCAATCATTGGCCCATCAGGTTGTAGTCGCTGGTATCTGGAATAGAGTATAATAGCTCCTTAGTCAATTGTACAATATAAATAGTTAATCTGCCTTTAAATCCTTAAAATTATAAAATAAGAGAAACGTACAAATACTGTAATCTACAGCAATTCAAGGTATCATACATAAGCTTCCTTACTCTCTTTAAAAAATTATTTAAGTAGTAAAATTAATTCCATTATTTACTAATGTACGATGCAATCCTAGTTTGGTCTTACCGAATAGTGCCCAGACAACACTCAACAGCCTGGATGAGGTGTGCCTGTATCTCACTCGTGCGCTGCCCATTGAGGTTTTCCAGATGTTTACGGAGCTCGGCACAGCAACGCATAATGCGATCTTCCTCATCATTGGCTTCAGGTCTAGAAATGATAAATTATATGAAGAAAAAACTTTGATAAAACGTGTCTCTAAAATTGTAACATGCATACCAAATATTGTATACAAGAAGTCAAACTTGTTTTACAATTATTTTCATTTATATAAATTTGACTTCAGACTAATTACTATTTTACAGCAAGAGTACATGAAGTAGAGACTGATCTATAACCTTACACCACACCCATCTACAGTACACCAAATATAGCACATCAACTCAGCCTTACAATTATATTAAGTCAATTGAAAAAAGCATTAAAATACACCGTAGAACCATAAATATATGACTGTTTACATTTGTATGATAATGAGCACAACACATTGCCATATCTTTCCCATCACTTGAATGTTAGAAGTGTTCGAGGATGAAGCATATTCTCCCTCCTCTTGTTTATACTGCCTATTGTTGTTTACCAAAACTGTTGTTTAACAGTTTTCCCCAGTCTTGTGTTTAACAACCAAGCCAAGGATTGCAGACGATGAGTCACAATAACGTGGCTTAAGCATGTTGACCAATCCACACACTAGAAAATGAAAGGAAGACGACGTTTCGGTCCGTTCTGGACCATTCTCGAGTCGATTGTGTTCTCAAGTCGGACTATTCTCATAATCAACTTGAGAATGGGCCAGGACAGACCGAAACGTCGTTGTCTCTTCATTTTCTAGTGTGTGGATTGGTCAACAAGCCAAGGATTATTTAAAAACATAACAAAAACATAAGAATAGAGTAAACTACAGAAGACCTATTGGCCCATACGAGGCAGCTCCAATTCAAATCCACCCAAATTCTTTTATACGTTAGTACAGTATAGTAATGTCTAACTTACACTTTAAACAATTAAGTAATCTCTCACCTATTATATTACTTACCAATTTGTTCCATAAATTAACAACCATGTTTCCAAACCAATATTAATCCTGTTTTTTTTTCCTAAATCTGAACTCCAACTTTTATCCAATTGTTTCCACTTCTATTTTTTTTTTATACAGTATAGTGAATTTAAAATCTTATTTATATCCATTTGTTACTCCCTTTCATCTACTTCTCATAGTTAAATCATGCCACCCCCTTATTCTTCATCATCCTTGGGAATGTAAGTTAAGCTTTTTAAATCTATCATCCTAAGGAAGATGCCTAATTCCTGGAGTTGACTACCATTCTTCTATGTACGTGTTCAAGTGAATTTACATGTATTACATATATTCTGTATACAGTATGGTGACCAAAACTTGACTGTATAATTTAAATGGGACCTAACAACACGAAGATTAAGCTGAAGAATAAACTCGGCTTAAAGAATAAAAAACTTGAGCTATAAAAACCTGGTTTGTCAGGATTTTATTGTTATCCTTCAGGAAAAAGAAGGATAACAATTTTTCCCAACCAAATCCAATCATTCTAAGGCAAATTTACACACATTTTTCAAATCTCTCAGCTTAATGACAGAGTAAAGTACTGTACATGCAACAGGCCTGACAAGCCTATTTACTTAAGTGAAAGCTTTCCACATTTCCTTGACTCATTACAGGTTACTGTATTTAATTTATTATGTCTAATACAATATGTTACTATGTTGTACATTACCTTTCTGTCACTCACATTATGACTAGGTTCATGTTACATTTTTTATTTCAACATTCCAAAACTACCTCCAAAACTCATCTGTTTAAAATACATCTTTTCTATTTATTCATATGTATTCTTGTAATATTGCCCTTTGACTATTCACCTTAATTTCACTGTACTTTTGTCCACATTAAAACTTTCAACAATTTGTTTTTTTCTCTATCTTAAATGCCCTCAGTGTAGGGTTCTTCCTTTCATCACATTAAAGTACTTTGAAAACCATTATTCAGTACTAAACTACTAAAATAATAATAAAATGGCTTGGCATGGTTGATACTAGTGAAGTATTCCACAACCTTAGTATTGTCACTAAAAAACCAGGTTAGAAGTCCCATTGGATAAGCAATAAAATATACAGCCAGGAACTAAAACCGTTTGAGCTCATGACTTATGTACAGGTGAACTACAATAAAAAGCACAAAGTATTATGGGACACCACATGGATAATCCTTCAAATCCAAAATAAAAGCATGAAAACCCGGGTTAATTTCAAAACTGCTTTGGAAGGAGGGGAGGGGGCAGCAATATGAGCATGTTATGAAACAAAGTTCTGTACTAAAGGGAGTATTATTTGCCCATTTCTTAAAAGCACAAGATTCACTTCAAGCCAATTAATTCCCTGAACCTCAGGTCAAAACTTACCCACTACCCTGGAGGGTCTTCACATTCGACTCACTAGGAAAATACAAGAAAAGGTTACCAAAAAACTTGTACAGTATAACTAAAACAGTTTGAGTTTTAAGTAACCAAATTTTACACACTTCTGCCGAACTTCTAAAACAGCCATTAAATTACCGAAGCAAAATTAGCCGAGGTCACTTCTGCAGTAAGATTGTGTGGTACTTTATACTGTACAAAGCATATGTGCATTTTATATCAAAAATTATACTACTGTAATTACAGTGAAGCAAAAAAAGTTTGTTAAGAAGTAGAAACAATACCTGGGCATATTGTAGAGTCTAATTGCAATATTCATATCAATTGTACACGTTTTTCTTCCATACTGTTGGTCCTGAATGATCACCAATGTTTCTTTTGAGGTTCCATCAGCATGTTTCTTAGTGAAGGGGACTGGTCCAGAGATTCTACGACGAAATTCGTCAACAATCTTGCTTACATCCAAAGTATAGAACTCGTGAAGCTTTACTTGAGGTAGGAAGTGGCTATGCAATGCATTTTTTATGGCCTATAAATAACAGTAAATAAATATTAGGTTTTCTACAACATACCACAAAGGCTTGATAAGTTTTAAATAATTCTAATTAAGAAACTCATTTGGCTCTCATCAGTAAATTTTATACGAATAACTGTCAAATTAATCTTTTAGTAGTAAACATGTGTCAGTATAACGAATGGAAGCAAATGGGGGGCGGCAACATTTTATGGTGGACGGAACCTAGGAACATATTGTACCTTTGTAGAGGCACCGGTCAATGTGGGATCCTGGAGGGATGAACACAATAATTTAGGAAACCCAGGTCACATAACTGAAAGGTTCACAAAATAATGCCTGGTAGCATTCATCAGGTGATAGTAAGAGAAGTAAATGGATGAAACAGAAGAACAGCACATACAAGGAAAAAAAACAAAAAAGATGTAAACATGATATAGCATGTAGTGGTGCGGGGAAAATGGTACACAGAGAACATGGAAAAGCTAGGCTGCTGGACAGTGGAAGATAAGCAAATACAATAGAGGCAACATCAGTTTGTCTTGTTGCTTGCAGAATTAACTTACTTCAATGTGTTTTTCTTCTCTGATAGCTACTGGAATACCTTGATGTTCCCATTTTCCTTCAGCAACTTCAAGAGTCATATGATAGAGAACACGATCTAGGAGGTATGCGGGACGGAGATAGGGACAGTTGCTACAGTTGTACGTGGCCTCAGCGTGGTCTTGAAGCCACGGGGAATCATTTGCTGTGTGGTTCAGCACCACATCAGTCAGAGACAACATCTGAGAAAAATACAAATGTATAAGGGTATATATTATGGCTCTCCAATGTAGCAATTCCTGCAGTATATCCAAGAAAAATATTTTATGCTATCTATTCAGATACAGTACTTATAATAGGAATACAATACACATGAAGTATTTACAAAGTAGGGCATGAAAACAATGAAAGAAATTTTAAATACAAATTGTGGTATATTATTAGAAAAGGATTTCTAGTTGAATTATTATATTTAGTAATAATTTGTGTTTTTGTAATAAGTACTGTACAGAACTTCCAATAGCCATACACCACATTAAAATAACTCCATTGTGGATGCAACAGCAGAAAAAAAAATGAAGGCACTGTATACAATTTCTCTACAAAATATAATTACAATAGAACCCACCTTCCATTCTTCCTTCATCTTTTTCACGACGGCTTCAACATCATCAAAGCTATACTGGTGGTCAGGAGTGTGGAACTCTGTGTTAAGGCTGTGCTGGTCCTTGAGAGAGTATGATGAATTGGACTCGCCAAGTTCCTGCAAATTCATCAAGGATGAGCAAAATTATAGAAAAAGAAGAAAAAAAAAAGACATGGTAAAACAAAGCTGCCTTTTTATACAATTTTATGGTCTTTAAAACCATACAGCTATGCATATGTACAGTATTAACTTATAGACATTGATTCATTTTATGCCACATAATTGTTCAGATATTAAAAAGTCAACAATTATGCATTCAAAACATTTAACTAGATATCAATTTCTGCTTTTCCAACAGAAGTACATCTCTCATTCAGCACATGATCTTTAAGCCGTTTAGTGCTCTTGCTAAACTGTAATCACACCAGGTCTGACGGCCAAGCACTTGGGGGTCGTAGTCCAAAGAGCCCGGGTTCGATTCCCGGCCATGTAAGAAACAGTTTCTTTCACCCTGTTCTCTTCATCTAACGGACAACAACATATTGCTGTATATATATTTTTATAACAAATAAAAATGATGGCTCCTTTCATGCTGATCTGACTTAATATCAGAAAAGTCCACTGGATACACAAAGATAAATATTAATAATAGAATACCTGAACAGGTGTGAAGTGAATCATGTTGTAGCCAGTTTCATAGGCTACTTGCAGTCTTTGTTCCCAATCTGGTAAAGGTCCTAGACATTTTGACAATACTGTTTGGCACTGAATGCAATCTTGGTTCAACACTTCATCATTTAGGCCAACTGTCAGAGTTGGGTCCACGAGGAAGAAGCCAGAGCCTTGAGCCTTCTCCCGGTCCTCACTGGTTAGAGTAAAATTTAAAATTACTGTATACATAGCGTAGTGTCTTCACCGTGGTATAAATACAGTATTTACATTATCAATAGCTGTAACAACTTGCTTGGTAATACATGTAACACAACAGCATACCCATCCTCGTAGGTGAAGTAATAGTGGAAGGATCCAGCCATCACAATGATAACTTCAACATATAGTGCCGTGTCATCACCCTTATTACGTGAGTCGCTCTTCCATTGGAGGCGTCTATAACAGGTTCGAGAGAAGCCTTCTTCTATATCTTCTGGATGGTTGGTGTAGACATTCACAATTCTCCCCAGCAGTGATGGACCTGGACGGAGCTGGAGGACCCATCCTGAGAAAGGCAAATATTTTTCAGCAATATAGGTAGTTACAAACAATAATAGCCAGTGTTATGGCCCAGGTAGGCCTAAGTGATACACGTAAGAGGAAAACCAGTCAATAACCAAGCAAGTACAGTGCAAAGTAAAAATGTTAAAGCTTGGAGAAATTCTCAGCTTGTAAAAAAAATTTATTCCAAGTTCAACACTCCCTACACCGTTTATAAATAAAATTTACTACCACCTTGTGCTTTTTGTTCTTTCCCCAGAAGTGTTAATTGATATATTTATTTACACGCTCCATTTAATTACTATACTGTACCTTTTTGCAAGCGGAAGAGTGTTGTGTCAAGATGGTCTCCATGGTTCAGGGTGAGCACTCGAACCTGGGGCTGTTGCTGGGCAAAGCCAATCCCTGCTCCAGTGCCCACCTTGGGCACACTGGTTTCCTACACAGAGATACACAGTATAATGATTAATGGAAGTCAACAGTGCCCAGGTGGCTTTAATACAATTTTTTTTTTCTAATAATTGTATAAAATATAATTTACAGTACTGTAAATTAAATTTCCATGTAAAAAAAACATGGAATTTTACACTATGATTACAAATGCCTCAGTGGAAAACAAACACAAATTTATAAACAAATTCATCAAAAAACAAATGGCAAGCAACGGATGATATTCAGTTTGAAAATAGATTCACACAGAAACAGATTCACAGAAAATGAAAGGAATGTGTGTGGAAACATTAAACAAAACATTCCAAAGTGTGCTTGTGCAAAATTAAATCTTCAGAGAACCAGGCAATAAGAATTCCAAGAGAGTAAGTGGAAAATATGCTCAAGGAGCTAAGAACAAAGCAGTTGGCCCAGATGAGGTTTCACCTTGGGTTCTGAGAGAATATACACCTGAATTCAGCATTCCACTTCAATTGATTTTTCAGGCATCCCTGTATACAGGAGTCCTAGCAGACAAGTGGAAGAAAAAAAAAAAAGGCTAACAGTTCCAATCTACAAAAGTGACAGCAGGAAAGACCCCCTCTTAATTATAGAACTGTATCACTGAAAAGTGTAATAGTCATAATATTAGAAATAATAATTAAAATTAAGTGGGAAGAACAACTGGAAAAAAATGATAATAACAGACAGACCATATAGTTTTCGATTTGGAAGATCCTGTGTAACAAATTTATTTAATGTCTATGATAGAGACAGATTTTACAGGAAACCCATGGTTGGATCGACTGTATCTGGACTTTAAAAAGGCCTTTGACAGAGTTCCACATAAGATGTTGTTCTGGAAACTGGAACATACTGTTCCAGTATCATACAGGGAGGCTTCTAACATGGATAAAAAATATTCTGTCAGAAAAATGAGGGCAGTAATCAGAGGCAATGTATCGGACTAGAGAATGTCAGGAGTGGAGTACCACAGGGTTCGGATCTTGCACCGGTAGTATTCATTGTCTACATAAAAGATTTACCAGATAGAATACAGAATTATATGAACATGTTTGCTGATAAGATACTAGGGAAGATAAGAAACTTTGTCGATTGTTATTCCCTTCAAGAAGACCTGGACAAAAGTGCATGGAGCATCACATGGCAAATGGAATTTAATGTGAATAAATGCAATGTTATGGAATGTGGAATAGCAGAAAAATGGACCCCACACAACCTACAAATTATGTGAGAAAGCTTTATAAAATTCAAAATTAGAGAGATCCAGGGGTGGTTTTAGATAGAAGACTATCACCTGAGGACCACATAAAGAACATTGTGCGAGGAGCTTATGCTAAACTTTTCAATTTCAGAATTGCTTTTAAATACACGGCTGCTCAAATACTAAAGAAATTGTTCAAGACCTTTGTAAGACCAAAGTTGGAAAATACAGTAGTTGTATGGTGCCCAAATCTTTAGAAGCACATCAACAAACTGGAAAAGGTGCAAAGACATGCAACTAAATGGCTCCCAGAACTGAAAGACAAGAGCTACAAGGAGAGGTCAGAGGCCTTAAGAATGTCAAAATTAGAATATAGAAGAAAAAGAGGCGATATAATCAATACGTACAAAATAATAGGAAATCGACAAAATTGATAGGGAAGAATTCCGAGACCTGGAACATCAAGAACATGAGGTCATTGACTTAAGCTAACTAAACAAAGCTGCTGAAGTAATATAATAAAATTCACTTTCGTAAACAGGGCGATACACAGTTAAAACGAGTGAGAATATGGTGGCGACCATAACCATCAGTACTAGTCGTTTCAAAGTTATATGACAGTGGTGGGATGACGGAGCACCAAACATAGCTATCCTCCTGTAACTACCCTTAGGTAATTACAAAAACACACAAAACAGGTGAGCGGAGCCACATATGGCAGATAGAATATGTTTACCAATTTTATTCTCACCTTGATTTCAGAGTTTGGTGGAGAACTGATGGAGCTGGTCAAAGGAGCAGAGCTGTACACTTGGGCCTGGGGCTCCTGCGTCACCACACCTGCTCCATCCTGCACACCCATCTTGAAGAAGTTGGTCAGCTTTCTGTGGGAATGGAGAAATGGTTTAGAACAAGCACACCTGAAGTGATAGAGCATGTATCAGTTCTTTATTGGAAACGTGTGAATTAGTTGGACTAAAGACCAACAAAAATTAAGCTGAACAAATTACACAGAAGTACTTTTTAAACACATAACTACACTATGGTAGATTACTGAATATGGTACTTAAAAAAACCAATGCTTCATATCTTTGGAACACAAGGCCTAAATATAAACCCCACACACTTTCTACTATGCACATGTAGCATAGCTAACAATGGCTTATTCGCTCACCTGGCTGCAAGCTAAGCTATTTTAAGCTTGAACACTTTACACAATTAAATAATTCAGGATGACATTCCATCAAGGTCAGGTCTGATCGTGATGTGGCACAGGCTATATAAATAAATTTATTCATCCAATATTACTACAGTATCATAATATAGCTTTAAAATTAATTTAATTAAAATGAAATTATTAAAATGAAAGCAAGAAAACATAATTTATAGAGGGTCAGTGTGTGAAGGTTTTTTTTGGGTTCAAAAGATAGCATGCTGTGGGTGTGGCCCAGGAGGCAGTGAACACCTTTAGACACCTTGCATGCATACAGGAAGGGTACTTTTCTGAGATTATCTAAAGGAAAAAATACAATACTGTACTTTTAGAATGGCTCATTGTTTAATTGCAAAACAGCATCTAAAACCTGTTTACCTCGGGAATAATCAAGTTACCGTATACGTACTCTAAACAAACTTAACCAGATGAAAATAGAAATTAGTGTTATATGTATTCACATGCATACAGTGAATGAGGTGTGCGACACCCATAACTGATAAGATTGCATCCATGAGGAATCTTTTGGGATTAACATCATCATTAAAGAGAAAATCCTCACACAGAAATCACACTAATGTAAGTGTGATTTCTGTGTGTATTTGAAGTTGGGGCATACAGTGTAGGACCACTTTGCCCTTCCACCCAAATGCTTGTGGGTCATAGGTAAAACCTTGAACGGGCTCCAGACTTCCTGCGATTTCAGTAGAAATCGGGTTGTAGTCAACGGCGATACAATGATAGATTATGCGGCTGGCAATGCCTTTATCACAGGTTCGCGTCACCTCACAGCCCTAGAGGATTTTCACATTATATACATCAGGTTAGTGTAATTTATATTTGTATCATTGAAACTAAGTCTGCCAGAAAATTCTAGTTCTTATCCTTGCCTGTGCATGTTCCTCTTCATGTGGTTTCTCAAGTTTCATTTTATTGGGGACAGGAAGCCTGTGTAATGTGTAGAAGGTTTAGGTAGGGTGAGAGAGGGAGCCGGTCGGCCGAGTGGACAGCACACTGGGTTGTGATCCTGTGGTCTCGGGTTCGATCCCGGGCGCCGGCGAGAAACAATGGGCAGAGTTTCTTTCACCCTATGCCCCTGTTACCTAGCAGTAAAATAGGTACCTGGGTGTTAGTCAGCTGTCCCGGGCTGCTTTCTGGGGGTGGAGGCCTGGTCGAGGACCGGGCCGCGGGGACACTAAAGCCCAGAAATCATCTCAAGAAGGGTGGGTTAGGTTGGGATCTGGGAGTGGTTGGATGATGGGTCTTTCTGGTGTATTTTCAATGCAAGAGAAAGAGTTTCAACAAGATCGGGACTCTGTTCTACATTTTGTGGGAGAGTAGTGGACTCTCGGGGTGCAGGATTGTCAGTGACAGACATATCAGGTCCTTGCAAAGGTTTACTGTGAGGTACCTTCACTCAGGGTGACTCCACAATGTTGTTGTTGTATCCACACTGTAAACACCATCATTGCCATATGCTCTTAGTTATGATTCAGTTACTGGAATAAGCCCCTTTAAAATGACAGCGGATATTTGGGATATCGGAAAGAAAGACGTACAGAAATGGAGAGAAAGACGTACAAAAATGGAGAGAAGGTGAGATGGATAGATGTTATGTATGATAAAAGTTTAAAGGTCGAGGTGTCGGGCAGGTGACTGGACGTGTAGGGTCCGTGCCCGACACTAACTTTTGTTTTCTCAGCCCACACCATTTTGGAACACCATGATATTTCTAACTTATTTAAGTGAAAGTGAAAGAGAGAAATAGAGAGAGAGAGACAGACAGTCTCTCTGTCAGTCAGGCTGACAGACACAGACATACAGAGCGTGTGTGCGCGAGTGTGTGTTAGTTAACAAGGCATCAGTTATTTGCGTAAGTATACACGATTAAATACTAACATGTAGGGCCTATACTTTAATCCCATTGTAGGCCTCTATTAAAAAAAAGTAGACATAATCCTTGATCAAATTATTAAGTCTTCGTTTATGGAAGGGTCGTTTTAGTGGTTATATGCAACAAGCATAGCAGATGTAACAGTTCTGTAGCAGTAATGCCAGTAGAAGCAACAGCCACAGGGATATGATCAACGTGGGTGCTGTAAAAATTCCAATGACCACTCTTAAGAAAGCTGGCCCCACGGGAACCTGAACGAGCTGTTCCAGTCAGAAGTATTGTCATGTTGGTTGCTACTACGTGGAGAGTCGTAGGTGTAGGCTCGCCGAAGTGGTGGTCGCCGGAACTTCTCCGTGAGCTTTTCTTCGAAATGACTACTCAACGTCTTCAACTTGGAGGTTGCAACCTTGCCCCGAGACGGTGCCACCCCATCACCACCTCCCGCCCCGCCACCATCCCGCTCAGGGCCTGGCCCCACACCCTCATGCATGGTCAGTGTAGGGCTGCACGTTGGAATACCATATTAAATGTATTATATTTGATGCAGACATGAAGCAAGTGTCCACAAAATTCTTTAATTAAGTTGTCACATGTTGAAACGTAGAAAGGTCAGAGTTATAAGCATTTTGATTAATTAAAAGACGTTTTCTCCATAGTCCATTCAGAACATTTGGAGATAAATTAATAACTTGAATATTCATTAAACGGTTTTTAAATTACATGATCTTTTTTACTGGAATTTATATGTAAAACTAAACCTCAAACAAGCCATACAAAGTGTACTAAACGTTCCAAAAGAGACGAGAACCAAGTAAAAGTTCAACAAGACACAAGCGCCTCCTAAATCTCCAAATAAGAATCGTGCTGGCACCTTCCTCACGAGGATGCGAGAATAATGAACACTATAGTGTAGACCCTATACTTTATATAACAATTCCTTTTGCTGGGGGGAGGAGGCCTATATACATTAGGTTCTTATTGACCCCGCCCCCCCCTTAAAAAAAGGGGTCGAACTACTGACCCTCACCAGCATACAACCATCTCCCCCCCCCCCCCACGTGCCCAACCATTTCTATTTCAACAGCCAATCGAACCCGGGCTTCCCTATTAGGGAACCTCGTGTTAGTGGCTTTGGAAGGATGTAAAAATACGAATATTATGTAATATCACAAAACCATTGAACCTTATTGCAAACAAATTATTATTTGTATTATTTAGAGACGAGAATATCGTGCCTACTGACTGGCCATGATCACGTGAACACTTCCATGCACAACCCGCTTATCTTTGACTACCGTGACGTCACGGTTCCTGCCCTTATCACTTACCATGATAAATTTACACGTTCACAATGTTCATATGAAAATTATTTTGTAGTAAAGTAGACAAAAATAAGCATGATATACTACTGTGTTTGGTGGCCCGGGTAGCACATTACAGTAGGCTAGCATAAGGTAACAAGCTACAATTTATGAAGTAACATCTTTAGTTATCCATCTGCCCTGTACTATACAATATTTATACTAAAAAAAAGTGTGATATAGGCCTATGTATATAATAAAATTAAAACGAAACAAATTTCATTTCATATTTTTCGTACATGTAACTTTGTGCTACATTGCTAATGAGAATCAAATTAACACCAGTACAAAACTGATACTCTAAAACAATACATGCACGTCTACTTTTGGTATATTCGCTTAAAATGTTTAGTGCACGATATGTAAATATTTTTACATTGTGTTGAAACGCCTTTTTAAGTGCAATTCATCTGTCTCCGATATTCCTCTTTATCTGTAACCCACCATTCAAGCATCACACACACTCGTTATGTTATATGGGTAATGAGAAGGGTAATGAGAATCTTGCTCTTCTCAAAGCTGTCACACTTGAAATATTTGCCTCCTCCATCGAGAATTTAAGATTTCACGAGCACTGTGTCTACACCGACGGCTCACTCCAATCTTCTACAGGACGAACTGCAGCAGCATGTAGGTTTTATAGAAATAATATTTGCACAAAGACTGTCAGAGTCAGGTTAAACAACTGGCTGACCACACAAGCTGAACTAGCAGCATTACACCTAGCTACCAGTACATTAAAAAACATTGGAGGAGGAATAATATTTTGTGATTCAAAGTCTGTTCTTCAAGCAATCTAAAACTTATCCTGGAAGATCGACAGCAAGAACCTCGTACTAGCAATTATAAATGACCTAATTGCTGCACAGAGTAAAGGGTTTCAAATCTCCTTTGTATGGATACCATCACATAGATATAACCCATCATAATGACAGACATTGCAGCTAAAATAACGTGCAACAAAGATGAAGTTGAATTAAACCTCGGTATCCCCATCTCTGCTGTCAAAACTGTTGTATATTGTTCAAAACTCTCAGGTCTGATAGAAAAATTACCGTCTTCCACAGGCTTGAAAGCACCAGTATAAAAAGCTATGATTTGTTCAGATCTGAAACCTATGTTTAGGGGCAGCACAAAACGTGCACCAGACTGTGCAACACAGTAATTGCCAGGACCAGGCTGGGTTACCGTTACCTGTGGCAGGTGGCTACAGGTGACCAGGTGCATACTGTGTGAGCAGGAACTCTGACATGATCTCTCACACTACATCACCGAATACCCAGTTATCAGACCATTCAGACCCATCGGCATGAGGTGCCTGGAGCTTTGCAATTATTTTATTAACTCGTGTTCTTGAAGATATCCTCATAATGCACTAAAAGGTTGCCAGTGCAGGCTACTGAACATATGGCCCTG